TGAAACACATATGTGGTATTTTCATTAAATATCTAGATGTATTGTATGATATATAAGGGATTGATCAAAAAGGGACCATATCGTATGATTTTTTGAAGAGTTTAAGTATATTCTTGATGATTATTGTTATTGATTATAAAAATCGGCCTTAAGTTGTGTAAGAACAATTTTCCTAAAACCCTAGTTTTCAAATTGGTTCAATAAAGTGGATTTTGTTCAATTGAATCTTAAATTATGAAATTTGGTGTAGTGAATTGACTTTGATGTTGGAATATGAGATTTTGGAACTTCTTAACAAATAACCATGTGATGATGATGAATGTGAATGTTTATATTATCGGATTGTTGTAAATTGAAAACCACCTTAGGGAAAATCAAATTTGGAAATTCAAGCATCACATGCATGTATAAATATACTTTGTGACTTTAAATGTTAATTTTTCGGAAGCGTTGGAAGGGGGTAAGTAGCGTATGCGTCTTAGTTGTGAGTCAGATTTTGGTTTAAGTGGTGTATTGTATATCGATACCCGCGCAGCGAGTCAAAGTGCCCAATTGCCCTATCTTGTGCATATCGCCTAATGAATATGGGAAAATTTTTAGGGTGTCCACGAGCCTGCCATTTTTAGAGTCGACAAACGTGAAAAATAAGATTTTGGGTCTTCATGAGCCCGTCTTTCTAGAGTCGGTAAATGTAAAAGGGAAAGGTCTTGGGTGCCCATCGCCCTGCCTTTTTTAGAGTCAGCAATTGTGGGACTACTTACTCTAAATCCAACTATGTATATGTATGTATGGTGTTGTGGCTCTAACTTGGGATGTCATAGCTTATTTACACCCAATGTTTTCGTTGAGATTTGTTATTGACATTTCATAGTTTAGCATCATGGTTTTCAAAAGAAAAATACTTGTATTGTCTCATCTCTTGCATGGCATGATCATATGTACTTTGATTAACTATATAACTTGTTAATGGTATTTCCTACTAGGCAATTACTCACCCCAAAACTAATAACCTTTCAGGAAATGAAGCTGGGATGATACCAAAGTGATTGACATTGAGATATATTTTTAGATAGGAGCACGGAGGCTCCATTATGTGCTATATGTTGAAGCCTCGGGCTATTTTTGCATTAGGAACAAAATTTCACCTTTTGTGTATTCAAGGGAACTCTTTGAAAAGATGTTTGCCTCAAGACATTTACATTTTGTAATATCTCTTACTTTTTGAACTATTAATACTATTTGATGAATATAATTAAACAATGATGTAACCACTTAAATAATTCAATGAGGAAGAGATTATTTCTGACTCTGGGGATATATATATTTATACATGTTCTATAATGTATTGGTATATTTTAAAGAAATCGGATTGTTAATGAATTAGCACCGTAATTAATGGTTATATTTCGGTGTGTTACAAAAACACCTAGCCCAACTTTTTTTCTTATAGATATCACATGAATGGGGTTATGCTAGCAAGGAAAATTCTTCGACAAGGATATTACTGGTCAACCATGGAAAATAACTGTGTACAATTTGTTAGAAGATGTCATAAATGCTAAGTTCATGCTAACCTCATGAATGTGCCGCCGTTACGGTCTCACAACTTACCTTCACCTTGGCCCTTCTTAGTTTGGGGCATCGATGTAATCGTGGCAATCACGCCAAAAGGATTAGAAGGACATGAGTACATACTAGTAGCTATTGATTTTTTCACTACGTGGGTCGAAGCGGCATCATTCTCCATGCTTAAAACCTCACTGTGGCAAAGTTCATTAGAAACAACATCATCTGCAGATATGGAGTGTCAAATGAGATAGTGTCGAATCATGGTTCCCACTTCAAATGAGAGGTAGTTTGTTTGCTTAAAAAATACAGAGTGACTTTCCATAAGTCGTCACTATACCAACCATAAACCAATGGGGCTGTTCAAGCTACGAACAAGAACGTCAAAACCATTCTGTGAAAGACAATGGACAGATACAAGGGTTGGCCAGACAGGCTTCCGTTTGCATTATGGAAATATCAGATATTGATCAGAATTTCAACTAGGGCAACTCTTTATTCCTTAGTCTATGGTATGGAAGTTGTTCTACCTATTGAGATTGAGATCCCTTCACTCTGAATGTTGGCTAAATGTCAAATTGAAAAGGCTAAGTGGTAGAAGAGTAGATTTGAGGAGCTAATGCTCTTTGATGAGAGAATACTGTAGGCATTGTACCATGTCTAAGGATACAAACGAAGAATTACCTGGGCGTTTAACAAGAAAGTGAAAGCCATAAATATGAAAGATATAGATCTATTGCTCAAAGAGAACTGAGCTCCAATGCATAACCTAAGGGAAAAATTCAAGCCAAATTGGGTAGGGCCATATATTATCAAGAAGATCATAATAGGGGGAGCAGTTGTGTTGATGGATCTAGATGAGTTAGAATTTACACAACCCATTAACTTGGACAAATTAAAAAAATATTACCTTTGAGAGAGCTCGTTAGGCTGAAAATCTGAAAAGGGCAACCTAGGCAAAAGTTAGAGTATTCAAAAAAATAAATAAATAAAAAGAACAATAAAAAGAATAGAAACTTGCAAGGTTGAAAACCTGAGAAGGCGGCTTTGGCAAAAATTAGAGCGCAAAAGAGAGAGTTAACACCCAAGTGAACCTTAACCTAAATTACAAATAAGCTGATTTCCATACTTGGGATACGTAGGCAACTTCACCTTGAAGTTCATCCCTAGCTCATCTAGATTCCATCATCTAGTCAGCACCAATCGTTAGCACTTAACATCGAATTTTCATGCATTGGGGGATTTTTAGTTTTATAGCTCATGGATTTGATTATGGAAGTGTTTGATTAGTGAGTCTGCAAAATTGTATTTTGTGCTATTTTTAATGAGAAGAGTAAGTGAATTGTGTTCCTTTCTATTTGACCAATTGAGCAAAAGTTCTAAAAATAAAGGAAGAAACTTCATTGCACTATTTTATTGATAATAATCTCAAACATAACAAATGTAAGCAAAGATAACTAATTCTCATTCAACAAAGGTTTTGAAATGATGAAAGAAAACATAGGAACTAAAACTCTAAACTAGCAGCACTACGAGTTAAGTTAGAGTCACTCAGTATTTATTCTCTTAAAAGTTGTCTCTCCACGTGTTTCAACCCACTAAATCTCACACTCTAGCCAATCGATGAACTCACTGGATAGTCTATAGCTGAAGCCCTCCTCTGCCACCACAAATGTCCTCTCTCGCTAAACCCTAGAATTTGCCTCAAATGAAGAGTCCTAAAAGAGTACGAGTTAAGGTATGACCAAACACTCGAGAGAATCACCTGTCACTGCCTGAGTTGTCACAAAATCCATTGAGGAAGGTAGTAGGTCATGTGCATCAATCCTACTACCTCTACACTAGAAAATGGGAGCATCTCTCGAGTCATAACAAGAAGCACCAACTAGGGACAATGCCAAGCTATATCTCTGTAAGTCCAAGAGCACATTCAGTCATGCCAACCCTCAGTAGTATCCATCCTTACTAACTGGGCTCGAGTATAGTATGAAATCGAAGGGTAACAAGTAGGAAATGTCCATACCTTCAACTTATTCACCAACCACATCTAAGGAAAAAAAAGAAAATAACAAAATAGAGACAAAAGAATAGAGAGGCATGAGACATTTGGAAACAGTGAGTTAGGGTGTGTGAAAAATAGAAAAGAGAGATAAAATAATAGAGAGGTGAAAGATAAGAAACCAAGTGAGGAAGGTGATATCTGAAGTAATAGCGGGCTCCTAGCAAAGTCCTCAATCTTAAGCCTGAATCTCATCCAAACCCATTAGTGTCTCCGCCAAGACTAGTCCAATGAAGCTCCTCCCATCCCTAACTTGTTTGGACACATCAACCAAGATAGGGCTAACCATCATGTTACTCAGCACCACCAAGAATTGGGCAAGCAAACAGATACACAGAACAGTACACCTGGACTCTTGGAACTTCCGATCACTCCGGTCCCACCTATTGGTGAGCTTATCAATCAAGGTGATGATTGATAGTTTACCATTCTAAATACAACCGTTGGCTTCACCTGAAAACAACTGGTAAATCTCTCTAAGTAGCTGGGGATAGCCTACCAAGGGAGTTAGATGCACCAAATCAGTCCTCGGAGTACACTCTAGCAGAGACTTGAACTCCTCGAAAGTAGGGTAAAGTTCTTGATGGTCAAACCGAAATACATGAACCCTCAAGTCCCAAGATCGTGTTGCCGCACGAAGAAAAGGCAAATCCATGTTCAACCTACTAAGAGGAAACATGGAGTTTACCCTCATAACGCTAAAAATTGACATGCTTGGCACCATCTAGGTTGTTCATTCATATTAACAAACCATTCTGGGAAGACATAACTGAAAACTAAAGATAGAGAGCAAGGGTTGGAGTTGAAGACTGATTAGAATAGAGTTGTGTTAAGAAACCTTCATGCAAGGTGGAGCATTTATGGGCCAAAATAGAGCAATAAAGGCTTAGAGAGGCAAAACCCTAAAATCTGAACATTACAAGCAGTTGTGTGCCAGTACATCCTTAGTGTGGGTGCACATCCTTGGTGCGTGCATACATCATCCTTGGTGCGTGCATACATCCTATGTTGACAGAGCAGTTTGGCTCTGTCACTTCATGGCACGGCACATGATGTTTCAGAGATAACGGAGGCATTTTGGCATTAATGTCAGAGTCATGATGGGTTGTTAGGTTGTTTGTCCAGCATTTTTGAGTTGTAATTTTGTTTTATTCTTTCTTTTAGCACTATTTAAGAGTCATTGTCAGATTCATGTGATAAGCATAAAAGGCCAAGTATTTGAAAGAAATAAAAATTTGAAATTTCAAACAAAAACAAGTAGAATTTCATTACATATACTATGTAAATTTTGGAACTGCTCAAAAACTTAGATTTTACAACCACAAAAAAAAATAAAAATTAAAATTAAAAATTAAAAATTAAAAAAAGGGGGAGAGGGGACATCCCTCAAGCATCCTATACAATGTTTTCTAAAAAAATAAGGAAAATACAAAAAAGAAAGCAAAAATCCTAAGGCTATGGTAAATGGAGCTCGGTCAACCTTTCCAAGGGCGCTTTGAAGCACCCTGGAATGAAACTCCCTCATTCTCCTTGTTGTCATCATCACCATCGTTGTTGGGCTCATAGACATTATTAGAACTGCCTCCTCTAGTAGTATGGGATGTGGATGAACCACCCACATGCCCAGATAAGCCAGCAAACTGCAAGGAATCAAAGAAATGGGAATCAGGATATGACAAAATCACAAAATAGTTAAGATCACCGAAAATGGAAAAAGAGATACCTGAATCGGTGTTCGAGTGCCCATAGCATACTCTTGGATCAGCACTATCATGTCAGCCATCGTCTAGTAGTAGTTATCAGCATGACCACAAGAAATCTACATTAGAAAGGGGACAAGGAAAGTAAAAACAAGAAGGAGGAGATAAGAAGGTACCTGTTCGACTCTAGCAGGGAGACAAAAGGGAACTATGGCTGGCTCTGGAATAGCCATCAACAGTGTGTCACCTCTAGGCAACATCATCGAAACGACGGTAGGCATCATCGAAAGATCTTCACCCACATCTACAGCAACGACAACGATAATAGGTGAAACAACCCCACCTTTCCCTAATGGCTACACATGACCTCGACCTCTACCTTGGACAAGAGGGAAGATTGAGGAACCCTCCACAACTCCTAGTAATTATCGTTCAAGATGGGACCAGATATAGTCCATGTAGTCCCCCTCTACCAGCAGTCCCTCAGCATCAGCACTATCCTAGATAAAGAGGATCTCCTCCTCAATGAAAGAATTTCCTACCCTCATACTGGCAGGTGGAGTCAGTGGTATCCTAGGCTCGGTCATGCCCAATGACAAGCAGTAGATTTGTTCGGCCACAAACTAGACACGTGAGAACGGGCCCTCCAGCAAGAGACATCGTCAAGTCACCGCCCGAAATCCCAAATACCAGGCCAAACCAGCAATGAGCATAGCTGCTTGGGGTCTCTACATGATCTGAAAAATGCAGTTTTATAGTTAGTATATTGGCAAAAAAAGTTGGTAATCAAGGTATGGGCGGTTAGAGAACTCACATGGTTAGGGGTAATGATATCAAATATCTACCGATACTCATCACAAAAAGAAAATACTAGAGGGTGTTGCCGGTCCTTATACCTTCTCTGATATCAGATAAGTCTTGGAAAAAGAACTGGAAAGACTCCTCATACCCTAGGGCCCATCTCCTAGTAAGTACTCAAAAAATGACATATGCAAGTAAGTACAAAAATAGCTAGTCAAATAAAACAGAAAACTGATAGGCAGAACAGGCAAACAAATAGGGACATAGGAAGAAATAGATATGCAAGACAAGTAAAGTGGCAAGAAGAGCAGTAAGAAGAAGATAAATATACCTCCTACAAGCTCTAGTGTCTGCCTAGTCCAATACCACGGTTACGTTAGATCGCACTCACATAACCGTATAGTGGCTACAGCTGCATCGACCTAATCGTAGTCTCTAATTCGATCCATGTCCACCATAGCAGCCAAGAAGTGAACATGAATTCTGTTAGCCCTATTCGCGAACAAAATGCACCCAAATAGGTATAATAGGAAACCTCTGGTGTAGTGGGCAATCTAGATGTAAGTGATTGAACGGCGGTGTCGGAAGCGGTCATGGAACCACTAGTATCTGATTAGTCTGCTCTCGTGTGGCAAGACAATGCCCAAAAAGAACCTCAGAACATCACCTTAGAAAGTAAGGTCTAACTTAAGTGAAATAAGGAGGCTGCTGACAGAAAGTCCAGATAGCATAGAAAAGTCCTCTAGCATGATCGTCATCACGCCAGAGCTCAAGAAGTAGAACGAGTCAGTGGTGCCCTATCATCTCTCCATCAAGGCGGCTAGAAGGCCGTGGCTAATGCGAGCATTGCTAAAAGACTCATACAGGGGCCCAAAGCCATACCCATCCACTAAGAGTCTGATAGCCTCGGGGAGGGCCACGAACCACTCAACCACACCGGCCAGTGAGCTAAAATCGTGAACAGAATGAGAGCGCTGCTGCAAGAGAGAACAGAAACTAGTGAGTTGCAAGAAAAGAGAAAGAAAGTGTAACAAAAAAAATAGAGGAATGAGGTCATACCCTAAAACCCGTATGGGAGACATGCTGCTCTGGCTCCCAGAGGACCACACAACGAGGGCTACCCTCGTCTAGCTCATAAAACTGCTCCATACCGGCCTGCAGAGCATAGGCCGGAGGCACGTAAGTAACAAGGTCGAAAGGTGGGAACTCCCCACCATGAGTAAATCTGTCACAAGCAAAAAAATGACCAAAAATGAGAAATAGCGCAAAAAGGTGACAAACATAGTGAAAAAGTAGAAAAGATGGGCCAAAAGTTCAAGTATATGAGTGTTTATGGGTAGTGTGGTACAATGGCCATGGCAAGGTGATATGCATGGACAAATATGCATAGAATGATCGGTAAAAATCCTAGAAAACACTTAGCATTCATGGAAATAGTTGAAAAGTCATCAAAAAGTTCAAATAACGTCGCTACATCGCAATGTAAATGTGTAACAGTGGATGGAAAGCCAGAAAAGTCAGAGAATAGGGTGAAATACCTAAAAATAGTCAAGAAATGGTTGGAATCAAAAATCGTTCAGTAGAAATGAAGCCCGCAATGTATGAAATTCAAAAAGTCAAATGAATCACCAAGCTTCGGAGCAATAAGGGACCACCAAAAAAGAAAATGAAGAAGCTATAGAGGAAGAATATGAGATTTCAAAGGAGTGAGCATCAAAGATGAGGCTCAAAAACACTTTAAAACCCTTCGGGTCATGTGAGACTGTTCCATATTTACTAATTGTGCATGCGCACAAGGCTTGTCCGTACGCACATTAAGTTAGTGTACGCACACACATCCTATGCTGGCACATGTGTGGCCTACATGCCTGCACGTATGGCAAGCCTATTGCCCTTTCAGGCCGTCTCTAAGGCACAAGTATGTCCAAAACTCAAGCTTAGGTATTGGCATGCCTTTCAAGGCCCATCATCTTAATTCGTATTTGAATCTCTGCTACTTATTATCACACTACACCAACACACATTGCACATAGCATGGAATGGGAGACAATTTGAAAACTTGTCCCCCATAGACACTATTATTGGCATCCACATGGAAAATGAGTCATTTAACCTCTCCCTGACTGAGTCTTATTGGAATGGGAAAATGTTTTCAAAAATCACACGGGAAATAAAATGTAACATGGACTTCATGTCATGAAATCGAATGTGATATAAGTGGATGTATCTGTGTTGACCATCTATCAACTGCTAATCTTTTAGTCATTGTTCATGGCCGGTTTAGTGTATTTCTACTGGGCTGTGGCTCACCCTTTATGGGACATCATTGTCAGGTACAGGTAGCATGCCACCTCCAAGGACATAGCTTGGGAGGCTAGAGGCAGGCAGATTGTTTTGTTTACTTTCTTTTGATGTATTACATGTAAATCCAAGCCAAGGGCTTAATATGTATTGAGTTAGTACTCTTCTTTTTGTAACCAAGTGTTAACTTGGAAAGCTGTAAGCCCGTAGGGCATTTGCTTTTGTTGTTAACATGTAATGCTTTTGTAAGGAACTACTTTGATGATTAGAAGAATATTTATCTTTTATACCAATGCATGTCTAAGTTGATGGATTTTAATGTTATTATTTTGAGGGCGTTACAACTTGGTATCAGAGCGTACCGGGTTCGAATACTTTGGGTACGTGGGAAGTGATTAGTATCACAATGGGTTTGTCTCGCTTGTTAGAGACTTATGTGTGACATTATGTGTTTATTTGATAACATGTTTATGTGACTACTTGGGTATGGGATTTAGTTTCTAGGATGTTGATTGGATCCTTAGGTTTCTGTGAGTCTTGTTGGAAAAGCACTTGATCAATGCTGTTTCTAACCGGAACTCTAGTAACGCCTTGGGACTATCATTATCCGGAAATAAAATTCGTAAGTGCTTATGTGTTTATGTGCTTACGTGGAGTGAATTATAGTTGTCCATGTATTAGGACGCGAGTGTTTAGCTTTGGCACACTTATGAATGTGCTGACGTTCTTCGTTACCTTTATTAGGATGTCAGGACGAGGACGTGGTAGACGTGGCAGACGTGGTAGACAGGAGATTCCTTTACCGGATGATATTCCGGCACAGCAGGAAAGGGTTGGCCAGGCCAATGTGGCCGAGCCAGCAAGTCAGGAGGCTATGGGCGCTTTAGCCCGAGGGATAGCCGATGCTTTGAGGGAGTCTGTGGGTATTTTCCGAGCTGAGAATCCGGTTCAGGCTCCAGTTCAGGCCCAGGTTATTGATGCAGGGCCTTCCTTCTTGAAAAGGGAGTTCTTCCGGTCTAACCCGGACGAGTTTATTGGGGACGCGAAGGAGCCACTGAAGGTTGACGAGTGGTTAGAGCAAATGAGTAAGACGTTCGAGATGCTTGGCATCGAGGACGGAGCGTTGAAAGTGACCTTGGCATCCTTCCATCTAAAAGGGGGTGCGGGTTAGTGGTGGAAATACATGAGGGGCCGTATTGCTGGCACGTGGGAGGCTTTTCAGGAGAAGTATTTATCTCCAATAGTTAGGGAGAAGCTGAGAGACTAGTTCTGTCAGCTTTTGCAGTTGAGTTCTTCAGTAGCCGAGTATGAGGCTGCTTTTACTAGCTTGTCCAAGTTCGCACTTGAACTTGTGGCGTCCGAGGAACGCCGCTGTATTGAGTTCGAGAAGAGGTTGAGGCGCGGCCTCAAGATGAGGGTTGGAGGTTCGATGATCCGAGATTATGGGCACTTGGTTGATGCTGCAGCCCATATGAAGATCATGATGCAGGGAGAGGAGGGACAGAGAGGCTCCAAGAGGAGCCAAGATGGTCAGGGTGATGGCAGGAGACAGCAGTCTCAGGGTGGTGTTGCTAGATCGACCTTTCCGGTGTCGAGTGCAGGCTCGGGGAGAGGTAATCAGGGGGAGTTCACCTGTTACAAGTGTGGTCAGTTGGGCCACAAGGCTTCAGTTTGCCCACAGAGGGGAGGAGGTCAGAGAGCTGCTTCTTCTTCAGCTAGACCGCAGAGCCAAAGTCAGGGCAGGGGTCAGTCCTTGTCTTGTTATCAGTGTGGTCAGCCTGGGCACCTGAAGAGGTTTTGCCCACAGTTGAGTGCCACTTCAGGCGCGTCTGGTTCTAGGCAGACGCAGGGTTTTCAGCCAGCTCAGTCTGTGCAGGCCTCGAGGGCCAATCAGGGGGCTTCATCGTCCCAGTCTGTGCAGCAGTCGTATGCTCCGAAGGGTGAGCAGTTGGATCAGGGGCCTACAGGGCGCGTGTATGCTGTTACCGCGCAGGATCTTGTGCCTACTCCATCAGTTGTGAGAGGTACCTTCTTGTTTTGCAACTCGGTTGCTAGTGTATTGATTAATACGGGTGCATCTCATTCTTTTGTATCTGCTGCATTTGCATCTGTTTTGGAATTGGAGTTGGCACGGTTAGCATCTCCTATATGTGTAGTATCGCCGGTTGGTGGTGAGTTGATCTCGAAACAAGGTGTTAGAGACTGTGATATAGAGGTCGCCGACCATAGGCTTCCTTTTCCTTTTGTTGTTATGCCCGTGAAGGGTTTTGATGTTATTTTGGGTATGGACTGGCTACCGTCATACCGGGCTGTTATTGATTGCTACCGCCACAGGGTCACAGTTTGTACCTTGAGCGAGGAGTGTTTCCATTTCTTGGGAGATCGGGTTGGTAGTGTGTTGCCACCGACATATGATCCGCGAGGGCGGAATAAGCTTAGTGGTCTACTTGCTAGCTTTATGAGTGGTGAGTGTGATGAGACCCAGATTGTATTGCCGAGGGTGGTTTATGAGTATTCAGATGTTTTTCCCGAGGATCTCGTTAGTTTGCCACCGCACCGAGAGATAGAGTTCTCTATTGATTTAGTGCCCGGCACAACGCCGATTTCTATGGCACCTTATCGTTT